TTACAGGATTTTCTGTGCCTTGCAGTGTATTTGATATATATTTCTCTTTCTTGTAAACATTGGATTAATAAGATTATAGGTAATTCCCTTAGAAATTGAGAACATGATGTTAGCTGAGGATAGCCATTGTAAAAAATGCAGGACTAATAATGGCATGCCCTGCAATTTCCTAAATGCTCCCTCATGCCCCTCCCAGCAGTTGTTACAATAAACTGATATTATCAGTATGATAAACAGGCTGTACTGATATCCTGGGAAAGGTTTGAGAAGTCTGGCCTGTCAGCAGCAGTGCTCATTTGTACTACCTAGGCCATTCAGAGGCATCTCCTTTTCACAGAAGACATACAAACCAAAGTTAACTGTAACCTGGTCTTACATAGACCTTCTTACTTGGACAGTATGAATTGGAAATGGCCCTTAGTAGCTGGACAGGAAGACAACAGAAAACCTAAACAATTGGTTTGGTTAAAATGTAATGAACATTTATGAAACCACCACTCAACCAAAGAACTAAAATATTGCTGATAAATTACGTCTACCTGTTGTCCCTCCCCTATTCCACCCTCCTCATTCCCCACCAGGGGCAGCTACTTTCCTGAAAGTTGTGTGGATCGTTTTCTTGGTTTTTGGTTTTTTAATTCTCTCTCCCCAACAGCATCCATTCTTTTCTCCCTCCCCCCACATCTTCCTCTACAAATCTACAAAATATTACCTTATTACCTGAGGTTGAGCAGCTCTTTATATAATTATTGTCGTTACATGCTTCTTTTTCTGTGAAATGACTAAACATACTTTTCCTGTCTTTTGTCCATTTTTCTGTTGGGTATTTTCTGACTGATTTGTACATGTTTTCGTGTATTCTGGTGCACATTCTCCATCAGTTGCATGTGTTGCACATAACTTCTCCCAGTTTGTAGATTGTCTTCAGTCTCTAGCGTGTCTTCTGATGACAAAAGCTTTTTTGTTAATGTAGACAAATTTATTGATCTTTTTTATGCTTAACACTTTTTGTATCTTCATAAATTCTTTCCCGTTTCAAGTTCAGAAAGATATTTACTTATATTTTCTTTTCAAGTTTTCAAAGTTTATTTTTGACATTTAAGCTCTTCACCCATCTGGAATTTATTTTTTGGCAGGGTATAAGAATTCAATTTCATTTTTTCCTATGGATAAACAATTTTTCCAACTTTTCCTTTTCCACACTTTCTGTTAGGATGTCTCTGTCGAAAACCAAACTTTGACAGATGCATAAGTCTATTTCTAGGTTCCTCTGTACCATTGGTCAGAGCTTAATAAGCTTAAGCTCATTTGGCTACCCAGGCAAGTCCCTCCACCTACCTTTCTTCGTAAGAAATGTCTGGGCTATTGTTGGCTCATTTGTTTTTTCACTTAAATCTTGGAGCCAACCTTTCTAATTCCACAGAAAAACAGGTATAATTTATATACAGTAAAATTACACTCTTTGTCAAACATTTCTATGTTTCAACAAATGTAATCACCACCACATTCAATGTATAGGGCAGTTACATCACCCCCCAGATTGCTTCATCTCCTTTATATTTGACCTCTCCCTCTGTCCCTGGCTACCACTGCTCTGGTTTTTGTTCAGATGTGTTTTTAATTTCATTTAACTTTTTTCAATGTCTTACTAAAATGTTGGATTTTTTTTTTACTGCAACTGCATTAAATCTATGGATTAATTTAGGAAGGAATCTCTACCCTTATGTTAAGTCTTCTTGCCCTTAAATGTAGTGTATCTATCAACTTAGTTGGAGAAACTTAGCTTGGCAGTAATGGAAAGTGCTTATTAATTTTTAGGAAAAAAAACTAAACATTTAAGCAGTTTTTAAAAACTCTTAGTAAAGGAATCATTTCATGAAATAATTGTCCATCTGAATAAAAACATAAATACACACAAATATATAACAGACATGTGGCAGTGTTACATTAAAAAAGAGAAAAACCCATCTTGTTTCCAAACCAGCTTTACTGCGCTCCTGCAAGACCTTAGGCACGCTGCTTAGCTTCTTTGCTGCTCCATCCCTTTATCTGTTTGCTGACTAGAACATCCTCTCCCTTATACAGTTGTTGTGAAGATTAAATGCTATAATGTGTGCAGAGTGTCAAGAGACAGCGGACCCAGCACAGTGCAGCCATGAGTGGATGAGACTATTATGTGGGAGGAACTGCTCTCATTCACCTACAAGGAAAAAGAACTGTCAGTGTGTTCGGTTCCCTAGTGGCTGAACCAAGTGTCATAACCAAAAGATGGCCTTGAATCATTTTTCTGACAATTTTGGAAAAGGTTAGTGTTGCCAAGCAGTCGACTACATGCTGCTTCTGACAGGGGAGCTGGAATCACTGGAGGACACAGCTGACAGCCAGTTCATTTTGCTGATTCATCCATTAGAGGGGTGGCTTTGAGCCAGAGCTTGGCTTCTAGATTAAAAGCGGAGAGCTGCAAAGCTGCTGGGACTTGAAGGAATGCTGGTAAATTATTGCCATGTGAAGGCCAGCAGTGAGAAGTGGATTGTTATTTGTTTCCCCTTTTAAGGGATCCTAATTCCAAATGTGCTCAAATAAATTCCCCCTCCTTGGTTAGGGAGTTATTTGTAACATTTGTCCATGGGACTGAGAGTGAAATTATTGGAAACAATTGGACACTTAAATAGATCATCTTGGCTCCTTTGTGGTCCAGTTATCACCTTTGTTTTCATGGGGAATATTGACTCAGGCCTACTCTTTTATTTGGTAGTCCAAATTAAATTTGGGAGAGGATTATTGCAGATGTCATGCCTTTTAAGCACGCTTGCAGAATGAACCTGCCAGGTAAATGAAATTTAAAGAGGAAAATCCAGGAAGTGCTCATTTACCAAGAGTCAGTACAGAATAATGATGGTAGAATCTATGGGTTCTCATTTTGTATCATGTTGGTAGGTTATCCTGTTTTTGTAGGCAGTCTCAAACATACAGGGAAGTCAACTCTATATAAAGCTTGCATGTGATAGGGTGAGCTTAAGAGGGTAGAAGCTGTGTCTTGTTTTACCAAATACTAGTGTCTTCCCTGCACAGACACTGAGTGAGCAGTTAGTGGATGGAAGGATAGATGGATAATGTTTGTTACTATGGAAATTGTTAGGTGGTTAGATAAATGAAGGGAAAAGTCAAAAATGTGGCCCACTGAAAGCTGGAAATGTAACTGTCACAGGAATAAGGCTTTCAAGAAAAGATCCTGCTTCTGTGGTTCTCTGATGTGAGGGACTTTGGTCAACAGCACATCTCCAGAACTTGATGCCTCTGTTTATCTGCTTGTGAGTGAGTCAGAGCTCACACAGCAGTAACTCACTCTGGTATGGGAGACTGTATAATACGAAAGTTCCTTAATACTCTCATGCTTTTTTTCTTTTATTTTTGTTTCTCTTTAACTCAAGTGAATGTTTGAAATGTATGGCAAACTTCTTAGTAAAATTTGTGTTTTTTTAGAATTGGGTTTTTTTCTTTTCTTTTTCTGTAGTTGTTTTATTTTGCTCTTTAAGTAGCTAAACATTTAGCACACCACATTCTGTAATCCACTGTTGTGCTGAGAAGTTTTAAGCAAATCTGGTCCACTTGGAGTGAAGATTAAGTATCAGGTGTTGGCTATATGGAGCCTCTGCCTCTCACACCATTGTTTTTCCCTCTCATGTAAGGCGCCTAATATAACTGGAGTCCCTTGTCCAGTTCTGATGTTCTCAAAGACTGCAGGCGTATCACCACTTGCTGCATTCTGCCTGCACTCATTCACATAATATTTATTGAGAACTACTCTGTACCAAGAACTTTGCTAGGAGTGGGTCTATAGACTCTGTGTCAAGTGTCATGGTGCTTTTGAAGCTGGCCAGGTACCAAGTCAGCATGACCGGGCTCTTATTGTCTCACAGCCAGTGTGGGCAATATCTGTTGGCAGTGATAATAGGGCTAGGAGAGTATATGCTCAAATTGCATGAGCCAGAATCAGGAAATGGGCGACCATCCACCAGTAGGCCTTCCATGGTTCCTCACTCCCACGCTCCCAGGATTTTCCATCCCACAGCCAGCCTCCGAGGAGGAGGCAGCAAAGGATTGCAAAAAAACTGACCTGGCCTAAGTCAAGCATTAACACCAAGGAGGGGATAAGTTCCATCCAGCTTTCGAGTACTCCTGCCAGCCAGAGACACATTACAGAGAATTAGCGGTCTTTAAAAGTGGAAGGAGAAGAGGCATGTCTTAGGTATTGTGGGGATCTCTTAAATTTGCAGAGTCTGAAGTAAGGCACAGAGCAGCGAGAAGGCCCCTGGCCTTAGGGTCACAGTAGCCTGGTTTTGCATCTGAAAACTGCCACTTCCTCATGGTGAGGTCTACAGTAAATCACCTGACCTCAGTACCATGCTTTCTCATCAGCAAAAACAATTCTTCCCTTGCAAGTGTATTGTGAAGATTAGACATCATGTATGCAAAACACTAGACACGAATAGACCTTCAGCATTTGACAGTGAAGATTGCTTTTATTGCCATTTTTACTCTCAACAAAATAAATGAGCATTTACAGTTTTCCCATAGTGGTTTCGATTCATTGTTGTTTTCATTTTCTTACTCTGAAAATGAACTATTTTCAAGTAGTAATGGTCCCTGCAAATATTTTAAAAATTATTTTACTAATGGGGTGGGCTGGGATGGGAGTAAAAGACAGAAAACTTTACTGGAACAACAATTAAAATAAAAAAAATATTTTACTTAACAGCATGACGATTCTTTACAGTTTTCAGAGCGCTTTCACACTATGAGGAGACTGAGGAGCAGTGACTCTTTCTTTTCTCCAGATGAGGAACTCAGACTTGGAGAGTCTGTGGAATGTTGCCAAGGCCACCTGGCTTCTAAGGGGCAGAGCCAGAGTGTGAGCTCAAACCTGAATGCTGAGTTCCTTTGACTACCCCTGGGGCCAGGTTAGACTCTTTCATAAGGATTTTTTCTTTTCCTTGTAGCTGTCAATACCAGCAAATATGCAGAAAGCTATCGGATTCAGACGTATGCTGAATATGTGGGAAAAAAACATGAGGAGAAGCAGATCAAGAGAAAGTGGCCAGAAGATAGTTGGAAGGAGGTTGAGAGAAAACGGTTAAACAATCAGTGCATATCCTGTGCTCTGCAGAATCACTATTACCGCACCAATAGGTAAGAATGCTTGGCTATTGATTTAAAAGGGCAGAGTTGTTCTAGCAATATCTGTTCTTGTTGCTTCCTACAGGATTGGAAGTAATAAATTTGACTTTTGAGAAAGGCTTTTTAAAAACTTTTACCATAATATCAGAAGTTACTACTACCTTAATTCCTGCTCTGCTTTATCAACCACAGCTGGTTCACTTAACACTCACAAAGCCCTCTGAGGCAGACAGGATACATCTTATTCCCATTTTACAGGCGAGGAAACAGAAGTTTCATGACTTCCCATCAGTTTCTGTGAGAGAGCCAGGTTCAGGGTTGAATTCTGGTCCCTTTCTCTTCTCAGCATGCCATGTTGCCTCTGCCTGAGCTTCTGAATTCCTTTCAGGTCTTGCATAGGGATCTGCACCACATACCTACTATAGAAAGAGAACTTGACACATACCTCCCTTAATGATTATAATCCTACTTTTGGAATTTTTTTAAAGTTTTTTAAAATTTTTTTATTTTTAGAGAGGGAAAAGGAGAGAGAAGAGAGGGAGAAAAACATCAATGTGTGGTTGTCTGTCACATGCCCCCTACTGAGGACCTAGCCTGCAACACAGGCATGTGCCCTGACTAGGAATTGAACTAGCGACCCCTTGATTCACAGGCTGGCACTCAGTCCCCTGTTCCACACTAGCCAGAGTCAGAATTTAAATACTGGTAACATTTTGGCATATTTGGGAAACTACAAAACATAGGTATAGAGAACAAGGGTGGGAGAAGTTCATTATAGAAATGAACTTCTAAAAGTTCACAAAGGTGTGAATTAGCAGAAGAAAAAATTAGCCGGAATCCCACTATCCAGAAGCAATCACATTTAGTATTTTGTATTGCTCTTCATACTTTTAAAATGGTTTTATAGGGATTTTAAAAATTGAGGCATAATTAACATACAACAAAGTATACGGATTTAAAATGTTTAGTGCAAAGAGTTGTACAGTTATATATATCCATGTAACCACCACCCTAGGAAGGATATAGAACATTTTTATCTCCCCCAAAAGTTTCCTTGTACCTCACTCTTAAGCAGTCTGCTGCCCCAAGCAACTACTGCTGATTTCTGTCACTATAGATCAGCGATTTTCAACCTTTTCATCTCATGGCACACATAAACTAATTACTAAAATTCTGCAGCACACCAATAAATATATTTTTTTGCCAATCTGACAAAAAATAGGTATAGTTTGATTCATTCACACTGGATGGCTGTTGTTGTGTTGGTTGTTGTCATTTTTTTATTTGATAATCAAAGGGAAAAGAGGTCAGTGCCCCTGACTAAATAGTCAGGTATTACATGTTTTAAAAATGCTTGTGGTACATCAGTTGAAAATCGCTGCTATAGATTAATTTTTATTCTTGGAATTTGTAAAAAATGGAATCATATGGTGTATTGTGTTTGGCTTCATTTGCTTAAAATGTTTTTGAAATTCATCCCTGATGTGTGCATCAGCAGTTCACTATTTTTTATTGTTTAATAGCATTTCACTATAGGAATATACGTTTACCTGTTCTGTTTGTGGACATTTAGGTTAGTTCCAGTTTGGGAGTATTATAATAAGGCTGCTATGATCATTTCATTAAAAAAAATCTATGGGCATATGTTTTCACTTCTCTTAAGTAAATACCTATGACTAGGGTTGTTGGTTTTTAGGTTTAGGTGTATGTTAAACTTTATAAGAACAACCCAACAGTTCTCCAAACTGGATGTACCATTTTATACTCCACCAGTATTGTGTGAAAGTTGCAGTTGCTCCATATCCTTGCCTACATTCAGTGCTCTTAGTGTTTTTTATTCTAGCCTATCTAGAAGATGTAAGATGGTATTACCTTACAGCTTTCACTTACATTTCTTTCGTGACTAATGATGTTAAGTTACCTACTTGTATGCCTATTGGTCATTCAGTTATCTTCTTTTGAAGTGGATATTTAAGTCTCTTTCTCATTTTCTAATTGGGTTGTTCATCTTTTTACTGTTTTTACTGAAAAGTTCTTTTACGTATTATGGGTACACATCTTTTGTCAGATATATGTGTTGGAAATATATTTTTTTGAGTTTGTGTTGTTAATTCATTTTATTAGCAGTGCCTTTTGATGGGCAGATATTTATAATTTGATGATGTCCTGTTATAAAATTTTTTTCTTTATGATTAGTGGGTTTTATTCCTGATGAAATATCTTTGCATACTCCAAGGTTGCAGTTATTTTCTTATCTGTATTATTCTAGAAGGATTATAGTTTCAGCTTTTATATTTAACTCATGCTCTATGTCAAATTAATTTTGTATATGGAATGACATTGGAGTTAGTGTTAATTTTCTATATATGGATGCCCAGTTGTTCCAGCAGCATTTGTTCAAAAGATTTTTCTTTTCTTATTGGATTAACTTGGCACTTTTGTTTAAAATAAATTGACTGTGTATCTAGGTCTGTTTCTGAACTCCTTTATTTCATTAATTTTTATGTCTGTTATGCCGGTACAATGCTTTCTTATTTCTGTGACTTTATAGTAAGACTTAAAATTAGGTACCATAAACCCTCCAACATTATTTTTCTTTTTCAGATTGTTCTGGCTCTTCTAGATCCTGTATATTCCAAATGAATTTTAGGATCATCTTGTCTGTTTCTCTACTAGGCCTGTTTTGTAGGTTTTGCTGTAGAGGTCTTAAATGTCTTATATTAATATTCTTTCTAAATATATTATTGATGCTATTATAAAGGGAAGTTTCTTAAAATAGTTCCCTCATTTTCAAATTGTTTGCTGCTTCTATACAGAATATAATTAATTGTTGTATATTGATATTGCACCCTCCAGCCTTTTAAAATTTTCTTATTCTGTCAGTTGTTGGTGTTTTTTTTTTTTATTTAAATATTGCACAGAGCTTTAATGTACTCAATCATCTTGGTGTGCTAGTAACAAAAGTTTTATTTTTCCAGTACTTATGCCTCATTTATTTTTCTTGCCGTATTGCGCTGACTAGCACCTCTGGTCTGTTGTTAAATAGAAATGGGAAGAGGGGATATCCCTGCTTTGTTTCCAGTACAAGAGAGGAGGTTCAGTGTTTCCCCACAAAGTAATGATTTTAGGGTTGTCTATTCAAGTCCTTTTTTAGGCTGAGGAAATTCTCTTCTATTTCTAGTTTGGTAAGAGTTTGTATCATGAATGGATGTTGAATATTTTCAGGGGTTCTTTTTGTATCTTTTAAAATTATCATATGGTTTTTGTCCTTTATTTTGTCAGTATTTTGAATTACATTGATTGGTTTTAAATGCCCAATCAAATTTGCATTCCTGGGAGAAATCTATTTGATCATGATATGTTACCTTTCTTATATGTTTCCAGATTTGATTTGCTAATATTTTATTAAGTATTTTTATGTCTTTATTTATGAGCAATATTAGATTGTAATTTTATGTTTCTGTCAAGTTTTTGTATCAGGATTATGCTGACTTCATAAAAACTAGTTAGGAAATTTCTGCTGTTTTCTGAAACAATGTATATAGGATTTTTTCTTAAATTTTTGGTAGAGCTTACCAGTGAAGGCATCTGGACATAGTTTCTCTGTAGAATGGTTGTTCATTATGAACTCAGTTTCTTTCATAGGTATGGGCTGTTTAGATGCTCTGTTTCTTCTTGTATCACCTTTAGGAATTTGTCTTTTTCAAGGAATATTTCATTTAATTTAAGTTGTCAGATTCATTAGCATAAAATTATTAGCTCAAAATATTCCCTTATTGTAATTTCAATATCTGTAGAATCTAAAATTATGTCCCTTTAAAAACTCCTGATATTTGTAATTTGTGTTTCATTTATTTTTTCCTATCTAGGTGATTATCAATTATTTCAAAGAACAAATTTTACTGGTTTCTTTCCTGTTGTTTTTTGTGTCTTCTTTTTTCATTTATTTATAATCTTATTATTTCTTTTGTTTATTTTGGATTTGTTATTCTTTGTCTCGCTTTTTAATGTGGGAACTTAGCTCATTGATTTCATTATATTTCTTCTTTTCTAATAAAAAGCATTTAAAGCTTTTTAATATTATATACTATATAGCCCTGGCTGGTGTGGCTCAAGTGACTTGAGCACTGGCCAGTGAACCAAATTGTTGCTGGTTCAATTCCAGGCCAGGGCACATGCCTGGGTTGCAGGCCAGGTCCCTGTTTTGGATAGAGAGGCAGCCAGTCAATGTATTTCACACATCAGCCAGTTGATGTAGCTCTCACACATCAGTGTCTCTTTCCCTCTCCTTCCCTTCTCCTCTCTCTAAAAATAAGTAAGTAAAATCTTCAAGTGTACCCATTAGGGATGTTTTTTAAATGGGCAGTTGTTTTCAGTGTTTACCTTTGGAAAAGTTCAAGAAAATTTTTTTTAAAAACCTACACTAAATAATAAAGTCAGCACACCAAATAAGAAAAGATTATTGTCACTTTCAATGGGTACAGTCTTTTAATTCCCACCTACCATGTGTAGACTAGAATTTCTTAGAAGGTCCGTCTCCCCATGACTTCAAAAAATGCTTAGAAATCACTAGTCTGTGGCAGAAAAAACTTGTATTTAGCCCTTTTTGTCTTCTGTGTGTTGGTCCTTGATTTATATGTTAATTACTTAAGTGTTTCCGGTACTGAGAGTGTTTGCCTCTCACATTCAGAACTCCGCGCCCCCCCCGGGCATTTCTACAGCCTGAGCAACCAGCCCCTCATCCTGGTGGGGCAGCTCCGAAGTATACTCTGAAGCTTTCTGTTTACCATCTCTTGTTTCTTCTGTCTTGCTCTTGGCTCCATTGTAGAAATCTCCATTCAGCTTTAACTTCTTCTTTGTTTCTGGTTCTCAGCTGCCTTTTTCTGAGGAAATTTCCTGTTGTTTCACTCTTGTTTGCTTCATAGCTTAGGAACAGACTTTACATCTATGTCTTTATCTTAACTAAAGACAACTACAATTTGTATATTCTTTTGGATAGACCCTTAGCTTCT